GGGGGAATTAATGCTATAGTGGGATTTTCAGTTTGGTGGCTGCTTTATTGCATCCAGAAGCTTCCTTTTTTTTCTCCCACCACCACAAATCCACCCCCTTGTTCTGTGACACCATTCAAACACAGACAGCTTTGCCTCCTTTTTTTCTCCCCATTTATTTTAATTAATGCACAGGAAGAAACAATAACCTAGAGCCAGCCTGAGTCTGATTGTTAAACAAAGGCTGTTGAAGTCCTCCACAGTCACAGCTAGCAATAGCTTCCTTGAAGCAAATCTTACAAAAGACAAACCTGAGCACTGGGTGCAGGAGGAAGAATTAAAAAAACAACAAAAACAAAAAAAACAACTTAACCCCGGGGGACTGAGCGGGGCGGCCACGATCAAAGTTTCGTGGAAATGCAACATCAGTGGCACAACCCATGAGGCTCACTGTTCTGGCCCTTGCCAGAGGTCAAGAGCACGGGGAGATGCACTTTCTGGGTTGCCACTTCATATAACGGGTGTATTTTGCCAGCTGAGCCCTAAGCCCAAGAGTTTACTGTCTAAAGCTGCCAGGAGGTAGGAGGCCGAGCAGAGAACGGAGAAGTCACCAGCTGGGCTGTTTTGTAGAGCAGCTGGCTTCGGAGAAGTTTAAGGAAGAGGTCATTTATTGCTTGCAGGCATTCATTAATCCATACTGTTCCCTAGCCCAGAGGGCAAGATCAAAAGCTGCCAGAGATGCTTAGGTGGAGCAGGGGGTACAGGGCATAAGAAGAGAAGGGTAACATCAGCAGGACTCCTCCTTCAGTGCTTTGAAAGTGAACCTGGAGTGACATGCACAGGGAGCAGTGGGAAAGAGGAGGGGAGGGAAAGAGACAGTGCAGACACAATGAAAAATAAAGGATGTAGGAGACGAAGAGCAGCCAAAACACAGCTGCAGGGACAAGAGGGAGAAGGGATGTGAAGAAGAGAACGTTAATTGCATGGCAGGCTTGTAAAAGACAGCCCCTGCCGTCCAGGCCTGGCACTCAGTCATTCCACAGGGATACAACCTGCCTTCGATGCCCTTTCACCCTGCTGGCTTGGCCCTGCAGTGCTTTGGGCAGGCTTACAGATTCATTTTGGATGTGGTGCAGCTGCATGTTTCAAGCCTCTTCTTCTCCAGAAGAAGGCTGAAAGCATGCAACAAGCAAGCTCAAGAGCGAGGGACAAACCCTGGAGAAAGCAATGAAGTCAAGGGGAAAAAGTGCACCAACATGCAGGTCCTGCTACTCCTGTTCTCCCCAGAGGACCACCCTCTTGGAGGCAAGCAAACATCCAAGCCTTCACCTGGCCCTCGAGAAAGTGTCTCCAATTCTGGGAGAGATTTGCCTGCTAGCTTCTAACACATTAGAAATCAGAGGGTCTGGCTTTTGCTGGACAATCTGAAATATATCCTGGCTGAAGGTCAAAACACACAAGTTGGACCGACTCCGCAAGAGTGAGACTGGACATTGTGCTGCCTGTCCTACAGGGACAAACACAATCCCTGCCTCGCTCTCTCGCTGCCTCTCCAGGTAGAAAAAGATATTGCCTTTGGGCCACCATAAAAGCCAAGCAAACAGATGTCCATACCCCTTGTCGCACCACAATTGCCAAAAATGCGTGGACATAAAAGGTGCTAGTAGTTTCTGCCACTTTCTTGTGGCAGACGTGTTTTATGGTGCGAAAGCACGGCAGACCCGAGCTGCCAGCACTCTGTTACCTGTTGATGCTCTGGTGTGGTCCTGTGGCTGGGACCATCAGTCAACCTACCAGCAGCCTCAGCCCTGGGACTGCACCACTTAGAGATGCACCTCAGAAATTTCCCTGGTTGCATCTCTACAAGGGGAGGAACACGCTGTCCCACAGGATCGATGGGCAGGACAACAGACAACATCCATTTTGCCCAGTGATGTGGATGCAGGACACATCTGATCTGCTTCAATTGGCAATATCTATTTAGGCCGTCTGTGACAGACCTGCTCACGTGGCCCTGTTGTCTAAGGGCCATGCTCCTGACGGATACAGCTCAGGCAGCAGAAGCCTACGGTTCTCTGACTTTTCAGCACAGCTGAAGTCACACCAGCAAAACTGCACTTTTACCAGCATAGACTTTTGCACTCATAGGTTGTCTTGCTGCAGGTGCTCTCACCTCCAAAGGAAACATAGCTTGCCAATGTTTCTATAGTGCATAAACACCCTTGGCCTGGCAACCTTTATTTGTGGCTTACAAAGGTGCAGCTTAAGTTTGCAGTTTAGGTTTGAGAATGTGATATTATAAGACGGCCATGGCCTCCAACAATAAGAGCCCAGGGACTAAAAATGCAACAAAGTAAAAAAAATAATTACTGGGCTTTACATTTCTCCTTTAGAGACAGAGAGCAGCCACAGGCATCATTTTTGTTACATCTCTTCTGCACACCCCAAACCCACCTGGGGCCTGGGACTTCATGTTCTTCAGGGGCAGTAGCTGTCTCTCTGGGCTTGTCTACGCTTCAGCCACAAGTTCACCAAAGTCTCCGTGACTACATGCTGCATCTTCACCATGAAGGGGGTTTCTGCCAACACAACCACAACCCCTCCTGAAACAGAAGTGAATCCACTACAAACCCTTTTCTGTCCACACAGATGCACCCACACCAGGGGTGTTGCTGCTGGAGTTTCTTCAGCAAGGGGGTGGGATCTTTGCA